CCCCCCCCCCCCACCTCACGATTCGGACTGCGACAAGTGCGCGACTCGTAGCAGTGCATTATTTAAATGAAGCTCCGCGGCCGGGCGGCGGGCGACCACCCCGGTGACCTACTGCCGCCCGCCAAGCGGCCAGTGCTCGGCAATCACAGGGTCCTGATGACGGGGTGCGGGGCGCGCACCCGCCACCGCGAGGCGAGGCACCCCCCGCCACCCCCTGGGCCCCGGGCCTGAGCGCGTCCGACATCCCTCTCGGACAGGACCGCGGCCGGCACCATCATGGCGAAGCTCCCCGACGACTTTGCGATGGTCGTGTACCAGCCCGACGACCCGCCGTGCCCGCCGCCCTCCTCCGGGGCGACCAACGCCCAGCCCGGCCGCGCCGACCCACACGCCGACGGGGAGGTCGACGAGATACTCGTGGTGCCGCCGGCTAGCCGGAAGGCCTACATGGAGGTGTTGCGGACCAACTGGTTCCACCTCAAGAGTGACGAGTACCTCGTGAGTGCGGCCGAGGCGCCCCCGCCCCGCCGCCGGACCGCAGGGGGTCCACCGCCGTTCCTAAACTGATCAGTGCTTTTCTCTGTTGACAGCGAGCCGACTCCGTCCAGTGCCCCAACTGCTTGCGGCGCTTCTGCCCAGACCGGATCAACTCGCACGAGCGGGTGTGCTTCAAGAAGCAGAACGTCCAACCTGGGGTAAGGGCCCGACAACCGGAAGGGACTTGTCCCTTCAGTTTTGACCAATAAATAAGTACCTTCATCACCTGTACCACCTGGCTGCTCGCCTGGTTGTGGCGCGCGCATGCGTGCGACTGGGTTTGCCTACCGTCTCCGATAACGGCGCCTTCTGCGAATAGGCAACCTACCTGCACGCCTGCCACGCAGTGGGCGGGGGCTCACGTCTCTCATTGTTTGCTCTTCGGCAGGAGCCGCAGCAGGCGCAGCCCGACTCGGCGCACGGCCGCGGGTCGCCGCTGGTGGAGTGCCACCTCTGCCGCAAGAAGTTCGGCACGCGCTCCATCGGCATCCACGAGCCGCAGTGCCTCAAGAAGTGGCAGCAGACGCAGCAGGCGCTCGGCGAGGGGCAGCCCTCAGGGCAGCCCGCCCTCGACAAGGCCAGAGGTCAGAGTCAGTCCCCCTCCTGCAGGCTGCCGTCCAGGCTGGCCTCCAGGCTCTCCCCGAGCCTCCTCCCCACCCCCACGGCCCTGCGGCTGCAGCCGCTGCACCATCTCAGGCCCCCTCCCTCTTCCTCGAGTCCCGTTGACGTCCCGGCACCCGAGCCCCAGCACCCCGCCGCCGACCCCACCGGCAAGGTGTTCCCCGAGTCCGTAGCCCAGCCATCGTCACCACCCCCGCCCCGGCAGCGAGTCAGCCTTTCAACCAAACACCGGCAGCGCGCTGGCGCTGCGGAGCGGCCGTCACTGGCGGGCCCTTCTCCCCCTGCGGCTGCGCCCCCCTCGCCTCCGGAGTCCTCCACCGACGAGGGGGAGGAGGTGCCCCCCGGGGAGGTGCTGCTCCGCCGGAAGGAGGGGTCCGTCATCGACGTGCTGCTGCCCCGGCCCTCCGCGCAGCTCGTGCAGCCCTCGCCCCGCCAGGAGGACATGGGCGTCGGGCCCTTCCTCATCATCCTGGCCGGGGCGGCGGCGGCAGCCCCCGCCACGAGCGTCCTCCAGCAGGCCATCAACGGCAAGATCGAGGCCAGGGGCGTACTCGCAGTCACGTCGGCGACGCCAGTCCCGACGGAAACGACGTCCATTCCGACGACTTCGAAATCGCCCAGCTCTGCAGTCGTCCCGGTCGCGGACTGCGTGGACTCGACGATTTCTTCGTCGCCTTCGTCAACCTCCTCGTCGAGTTCGGCCTCCTCCTCCAGTTCCACCTCCCCATCTACGGTGGTACAGCGCGAGGCTCGCGAGAACTGGTGCCGGCCGAGCTTTCGGGTTGAGGAGGACGGCTCGACGACGTACCGCTGCAGGGTGTGCAACCACGGACCCATCCGCCGGCACTTCTTTCGCTCGCAGTGACGGCCCCACCCATCCGCACCCCACCCTTCCCACACATCACATACCCCCTGACAGCCGCAGTGGCCTCGTTTGTCATTTTCATTGTTTTGTTCTCATGATTTTTATTTTATGATTTTTGGGGGGCAGCTTCGCTGTTTTGTTCTCATGTTTTGTTTTGTTTTATTTTATGTTTTCTTCGTTTTCCTCCACCTCTCCCTCCCTCCGCTCCCTTGTCCGCAGACTGCCCGCAGCTGGAAGGCCCACCGGAGCGCAAGCCCCTCGCCATAGAGTTCCCGAGCAGCAAGCCGCCCGCCCCC